ACATGGGTAGTTAGAGGTTAGCCTAGGCTGCAAGAGACCCTTGTCTCCAAATAAATTAAATAAATAAGCAGATCAACAGAGATCTGCCCGCCTCTGCCTCTCAAGTGCTGGGATTAAAGGCATGTGCCACTATACCTAGCTTGTTGAACAAATTTTTAAAATGAAATAAACTATGGGATAAAAGACACAAAGGGCACAAGAGAAAACTGTCTTAGATTATAACTCAAACACTAATTTTAAAATTAATACTGTACCTGCCATATGTTTAAGCTTTAAATGTTACTTCTGTGTGAGTGTACACATGACATGGAATACATGTGAGGGCAAGTGACAACTTACAGAGTTGGTTCTCCTTTCACAAGGTAGGTACAAGAGCAAACTCAGGTCATGAAGTACCTTTAACATCCTGCAGGTGCTCCTTAATATTTTGTTGTTAGAGACAGAGTCTTGCTCAGTTGTCCAAGATAGCTGTGAGCCCATATGGGCTCAAGTGTTCTTCCTTTTAAGCAGCTGAGACTATGGGTGCACACTATTGCACCTGGTCTTCTAAGCAAATTTTTATTTGTTTTCACTTCACTCTACAGATCCCATTCTGGGGAGAGGAACAGTATTAGCATACATGTCTTTTCTCTATCAGGTGAGAGAACATAAAAGAAGCTACAATCCAGCAACAAGCTTGTGAAGAGCCCAGCTCTTGGTTCTAATTCCATTCACCAGGAAAAAGAATCAGGTTCACTGCAGAAATAGAGGACTTCAGAAGTAGGGCAAGAGATACACAAGAAGAGCCTTGAGCATCTTTTAGTACCAGAAAATAAGCAAGTGCTTTAAAATGCATGTCTGCATGTACACACATACACAGGACAGGATTCTAACAAATGTGTGGACACATGTCAAGTGAAAAATTCCAAAAGGCAAAAGGTAAAACCATTTGAACAGTAAAATAAACGACTGTTAATACTGGGTTATAATTCAAAGTAAAAAATATATATCCAGGAAGACATACTATTATGAATGAATGAATGGCGGGAAAAAGATAACCCCGCCCACACCCAATCCAAATAATGTATGTAGTTATTCCCCCTAATTAAAAGGAACGTAATCCCCTAACTACCAAAGTGTGGACTGCAGACGGTGACTTCACAAAGTATAAAATGGACAGGGGCAAAATGAAAGCATGACTTTACAGGTGATGGAGGTCAAATTACCATCATAAATCATGTTGACAGAATGCACCCTGGATAGGATGTGATAAAAATGTATTTTACCCTTATCTTCTTCACAGATTTCATCATGGGAAAAGGTTAGATTCCAAAGGGCATGAACAACACACCTGACTAACACGCCCCAAAACTGTCCAAGTCAGTGAAAACTATACTAGAAACAAGAGCCTAATGAGTCATGACAACTAAATGTACATCCTTTAACAGAAAAAGGACAGTAGGTAAGACTAAAAAAAGGGGTTGCAGAGATGGCTCAGCAATTAAGGGCGCGCTCTGAACCCACACAGCAGCTTATAACCAGCTGTAACTCCAGCTCCAGGGGACCTGATGCCTTTTTCTGACCTCTGAGGGCACAAGGCATGCATGTGAGGTTCCTCCACACATACGGGGAAAACACTCACTTAAAAAACTAAAGAAACAAGGATGCCCTATGGACTCCAGTTAGGGAAGTGTCTCAACACGGGCACATTACTGTAGTACATTTGCCTCATTAAGTTACAGGGGCAACCAGGGTACACGGTCTGCAACTGCAGAGTGAGGCCCCAGAGAAAGCAGCCAACCAACACTCTGTGGTCTCCTCCCCGACAGTAAAGATAAATCCTGCTGAGTTAAAAAGGAAAGTCAAAATAGGTCAGAGAGATGTCTTGGTAGGGAAGGTACCCATTACCAAGTATGGACTCTGAGATCTACACAGCGGAAGGAGAAAACCAAGTCCTGCAAGCTCTCCTCTGACCGCTACACATTTGCACCTGCACAAGACACACTCATGTCACACACACACACACACACACACACACACACAGAGAGAGAGAGAGAGAGAAAAAAAAATCCTGTATTTGGAGTAAGCGGTCAGGGGATCAGTGGAGTCACTGAGGAATATATAATGTCTGAAAGTTCAAGGCTTTAAAAAGTATCATAGAGGCTAGTGTGGTAGCACTAGCTTTAATCCCAGCACTAGGGAGGCAGAGGCAGTGGATCTCTGAGAGTTCGAGTCCAGCCTGGTCTACAAAGCAAGTTCCAGAACAGCCAAGGCTACACAGAGAAACCCTCTCTTGAAAACCTACCAAAAGGGCGAAAGAGATGGCTCAGAGGTGAAGAGCACTGACAGCTCTTCCAGAGGATCTGGGTTCAAAAGCCACCATCCACATGGCAGCTCACAACTGTCCAGTCCCAAGGGATCTGACACCCTCACACAGACATACATGCAGGCTAAACGCCAATACATATAAAATAAAAATAAATAAATCATTAAAAAAAAAAAAAAAGAACACCCTACCTCCCCCCAAAAAAGTAGCATAGAGATGAGTTTGAGGGATGGCTTAGCAGGGGTTTTTGTTTTTTGTCTTTTAATGTATGAATGTTTTGTTTCCATATACGCATGTTTTGTCTCCATGAATGCCTTCAGGCCAAAAGAGGGCATCAGACCACATTATAAATGGTTGTGAGCTGCCACATGGCTGCTGGGAATTAAACTCAGAGCCTCTA